CCTCGGCTCCAGGATTAGAGGAGCTGGCTTTATTTATGTAAACTCATTTAGGAGCAAGATATTGACCAGAGCTCCCAGTAATGAGGAGGAGGGTGTAGGGAGGGAGGTCTTCCTCCTCCTGCAGCTCTAATGGTCTCTCTCCCCCCCCGTCTGCTCCCAGTCACTCTGTAAGTGTCATTAGGATGCGCCGGGAGTCGCCTCAGCTAAATATTGTGTAGGCTTCATTTAGCACAGATGAAACCGTGACTCACTGTGGACTCATAGAGCAACTGAGTCACGTCTCAGCCCCAATCATGTCAGCTGGCTGCGGAGAGAGTTATCTTAGCAGCTAGCAGCACTGTGCATCAGAAGCCTCCAAACCTATTAGTCCCATTCTGGTGTCTGTGTTAATTGGTACTCAATGATTTCAGAGGCGGACTGACTGTTAGTCGGAGGCTCTGCTGCTCTGCGCCTCATTAACTGGCTGATTGTTCTTCTCATGTGGAGAGACATAAACCAAAGTCGTGATCTCTCCTGGAGCTTTTTTCTTTCTAAAGTCTGACTCTCTGAGTGAAGGAATACTGCAGATATATTTCAGAGCCCTGAGGCTCAGATGTTCTCCTTCCTGTTCCCTAAAGACTGATCTGACTGCAACCTGATTGGTTCCGACCTTTGGGCTTCGTTTAGTCTTTGTTCAGATGCTTTTAGTCTATATTCTATGGCAGGAATGTTATGAACAGCATTAGCTCTGTTTCCCATGACAACCTGAGACTGAATTAGCTTTCTACCTAATTTAGTCTGTTTTCTCATTGCTTTGGTTCACAGCTACTATAAACCCAGATTCTCAGAGCTGCAGGGAAGCAACATGAACATTTAAGACGTTCAGCAGAATCAGAATCTGATTTAGTAGGTTTGCAATTACAAGGACTTGGTGTTGATGGTGCAGAAACATTAGATATATACCCAGAATACAGAATCTATAGCTATAAATAATATAAAACATACAATTTACTTTAAGCCAGAGGTACCAATTAAAACC